TCATATAAATCTTTATTTTGGGTTTTAAAACATTTTTAAAAAAATCATAAAAGAAATCATTTTATTTAAAAAGTGATGGTAAAATTGGTTTACAAAACTGACACCTAACATTTCCAAAATTATCACTTGTACAGATAGGTGTCAATTTCTTAAGGATTTTTACTAATGCACAAAAATTATGAAAAAACGTCATGTTATTAAAACACAATAATAAATGTCTTTTAGCTAAGACGATTTTCAAGTTTCACTTATAATGACTCATAAATATTTTGTTTAACTGGGTCAATATACATTTTATTACAAAAGGCCTTTTGACCAGTTCTTAGTCTAATTGGTTGAACCAGCCATCACGATCCAATTTTTAAAATCTTGGTTAAAAATGCCAAGTATTCAGATGCTTTTGTTATTTTGATTGATATAAAATAAAATTAGTGGCTATAGTTTATTAATTAGAAGATGAAAATACGTAATTCTTCCAATTTAATTTTTGAGTCGTTACAACCAGAACCTACTTCAAACTAGATTCAGACACTTATACACATGCAAAACACTCATAGACACATGCAAGAAGTGATAAATACTATGATTTAGTAAATTATCTTTACCAAATTGGATCATAATATATGTAGTCGTACACAAATTCAACTGGTGTTATGTTATGCACTAAAATATAATTTGAAAGAATTATTTTTTTCTTTTATCTTTTAATAACAACACAAGAACTATCTAATTTTATTTATCAATATTTATTCACAAACATGAATTTTATAATTTAAAACATCAATATTCTTTTTTTATTCATTACTCCAAATTATATATAATATTTATGAATCATGCAATCATATCATGTTTATCCAAATCTAAGTACAACAGAAATACTAAAATAAAAGAAAAAGAACTTTAGGGATCCTCATCAATCTATCACTCTTGTTCTCTTATATTGACCTAAAATTATCTAAACAATATATAATTAGATAAACAACCTAGCAGGTCACACTAAAATCCTATAACTGAATTCAAAATACAACAAAAAAGTAATATGCAGATTATCAGTCAATTCTTAACAATAATATTCATATGATCAAGAATTAGTGTAGAAATAGTAAAAATCACATGTACTAATAGTTGAATCTGTAAACAATAAAATAATATGATACAAAGTCATTAAAGCACTATAGTGGGGAAATAAGTAAATTAGTACATGTGCCGAATCCATAAAGCAGTTGCATATTAGTACTATTAATCAATAAATCAATCATATAGAGTTGTAAAATCAAAGAATCGATAAAGAACAGTTAAATTCAAATCAATGCAATAAAATCTTATAACACTGTACATATATAATACAATTATTCTATATCAATATCAATATCTTAATCACATGCTTAGTATCAATAATCAACATAGTGATTATTGAATATATGACAATAACATTAATAATGAATCAATAGTAATATCAGTAACATTATTGATGTTCGTATCGATACCAATAAATTTAGTGGCTATAGGTGTAAATCAACAATTATAACAAATATGTATATTGACAAAAAATCAACACAGTATTAGTAAAATAATAAAATCATACAGTGATAATAAATATGTAACATATATTTCATTAATTACACTAAATATGTAAGAAGTTATGACAATCACAATATTTTTAAGTAATCATTAATTGGTAGTTGGTAATTGTTATAAGTTAGTAAATATAGTCGTCATTATTTGTTCATTAGCATAATAATAACTTATTATAACTCTTAATCGTTGCTTTGAAATTGTTATATCGTGAAGGATAACACAAAACCATTGTATTTAAATAAAAGCTCATCGGCCCACCATCCTGTACAATTTAATTAATCTTGAACCAACATGTCAACATATCTTCATTTGTCTTTTATATACATTCTAATAAAAAGTAATATTGACCAACTATTATCCAATTACACACCAGAATTCATGCTCAATGCATGTATTAATAGTATGCTTAATAAAATGCCCACTAAGTAAAAATATGCAGTTTTAAACTATAATCAAATTATCAATAATTTTGTAAAATACCATTTCAAAACATTAGTCATACTATAGCACTATTTTTTTAAAGTTCAGATTATTTTTTATTCAATCAAAATCATATAAAATTTAAAATATTCGATATAAAATTTTTAGAAAATACTCAAAATATTTATAATCTTAATCTCAATAATATATAAAAAATTACACGGTGAAAGTTTTAGTAGTACAAAATTATCCATATTTTTCATTAACAAAAAGAGTTAGACTTCAAATTTTCGGTAACTCAATCCAGACAACTTTCTCAACTAGCCTGACGGCTAAAAATGATTTGAAGCGGCTCAAAATAGAGTTTCTCTCTCTAAAAACTCTCAAACACTCTCTCTACTTTGGTGGCTACGATTGAATGAATGAACAAAATAATGGATTTTAAAATATATAAAAAAGAAGATAATGACCTAGTGCGCCAGCGTTACCACCTAGAGCTATGATGCTAGTTCATTTTTCACATACAGAGAGTGGAACACTACAATGTCACTATTTGGGCTCTTGGTATTGTAACATGGTTGATGTGCTCAGACACCCAATGCTGAGAAGCTCAAATATTCACATTTTTTAAATTTTGCAAAAATTCACTCCAGACCTTATGACTCATGCTAAAACATACACAACCATTTTCAAATATTAGAAGACTTCAAAATACACGCAAATAGATGCAAAAGCATAAATTTAAATATTTACTTTTGAAAATTCTTTTTTACATTTGGATCCCATCGTTGCCTTGGCCTTTGGTTACTTACCATTATTTTTGGGACCACTTCATTATTACATTGATTATGTATAAGAGTTATGTTAGTAACTAGATGTTGTTTTCTAAATGTATACTTAAGCCTTCTTCTACCACCTTGATTGTCAATATTCTAATAATTCTATTATAAGAGTAAATATATTAAATTCCACCTGCATAAAAATAAAAACAAAGGAAGACCTTAAAATATTTGATTTGTAAGTGTTGCGTCATGAAGTATTCACGACAGTAGAGAAATATATAGTTTAATGTCTTAGCATTGTACGAAGATCCAACACACAATCAGATAAATGAGAGGATGTAACGTTCATAAGAGACACCATAGTTTTTACATGGAAACCCCTGAAAAGGGGGAAAACCATGGGGCTTGGCTCAGTTTGAATGAATCCACTAGTATTTGTAGTATATTACAAAAGAGGCACTTCCTTAGGAGAAGGCCTTGGTTTGATGTCACAAATATACATCATATATAGCACATTACATGGTGGGAGTTACATATACATGATTGTTTGGTCGGCATGACCATAGTCGACATGATAGAGGTCAAACAGAACGTAGTTGGCAGGATATTGAGGTCAGAAAGACCGTTGGCTGGTGATGTAGGTCGAAAAGACTGTAGTAAGCGACGGAGGCAGCAAGGACCGTAGTTGGCAGGAGACATGGGTCAGAAAGTCTGTTGTCTTAGGGAGGTACTTTGATAAAACTTCGGGCCTCAAGTGGTGGTCCGGCGGAGCAACAACGTCAGGCAATGGTCCAACGGAGGTGAGGGCATCAAGTCGCGGTCTGGTGGAACAACGACTTTAGGCGGTGGTCCAGCAAAAGTCCGGGCCTCAAGTGGTGGTCCGGCGAAGGTGAGGGCCTCAAATGGTGGTCCGGTGGAGCAACGACGTCAGGCGGTGGTCCGGCGGAGGTGAGGGCCTTAAGTGGTGGTCCGACGGAGCAAAGACGTCAGATGGTGGTCCGGTAGAAGTCCAGACCTCAAGCGGTGGTCCAGAGAAGGTGAGGGCCTCAAGTGGTGGTCTGACAGAGCAACGAAGGCAGGCAGTGGTCCGGCGGAGGTGAGGGCCTCAACTGGTGGTCCGGCGAAGGCGAGGGCCTCAAGTGGTGGTTCGAAGAAGGTGAGGGCCTCAAGTGGTGGTCCGACGAAGGTGAGGACCTCTGGTGGTGATTCGACGAAGCTCCAGCGGCAGTCCGACGAAACTCCAGCGGTGGTCCGGCGAAACTCCTGCGGTGGTCGAGGTGGAGCTTCTTCCTTATATTCTCTTCTTCTTCTTGCTTGGGTCCCTCCCTCCTCAAGAGAAATGAGGGGTCTATTTATAGATTTATGGAGTGACATGACCTATAAATAGGTGAGAGATCAAGGGCAAATGGGGAGTGGTTGGATGGACAGCCAATATTGAATCCCTTGATTGTGGACGTTCGTCAGACATTTGAAGATCTTAGTGATGTCGGAATTCGGCGATCTTGGGCTTGTTGGATTCGTCTCATCGAGCCGCTTGATTCGACTATAAGTACATAATGTTTGGAAACCGTTTGGTAATCTAAATTGTGGTTCGAACATTCCAACATCTTTTTGGATCCTTGATTTGGACTCATTTGTGCTCGGATTGAGTCGAATTTGATGTCGTTGGGTTCGTATTTTCGAGACATTCAATTTACTATAAGTTTATTGAAATCGGAGTTCGAATGGTCTCAATTTTAATTTTAGAAGTTTCCAACTTATTTTGCATCGAGGTTCGTGTCCAATCAAGATAATATTTTGATGACGTATCAGTAAGTATTAAAAATAATATTTTTTATTAAATTTTAATAAAAAAAATTGATTCTTTATAGAACACAACAGAGAAAATTAATTCACATAGCTGACCCCATACTATAGAATTCGTTTTTTATTTTTGAATAAATCTTTTAACTAAAAATTATGATATGTAAATGAACCGCAGAACAATTCTCTCCATTATGCCTATCTCCAGCGAAAAACCTTTACGAGTATCTAAACTACTGCCTAAATTTCATTAAAAACCTTTTCGGTAATCATGTAAATATCAGCCTAGAGAAATATTTGTACGAGGACACGTAAATAGCTGATGATTGGATAGGGGTAAAAACTAGTGAGAATTTTTAAATTTTTTTGTTACAAATTAGATCATTTCTTACAAAAATACCCTGAGTCAAGCCTGGCCTACGTAGATCTGGCCGCAATATTTGCTAACAGCTGCCGCCCTTCGCCCTCGACCTCGTATGTATTTTCTCTTCGTAATTATAGTTCCTCAAAGGCCTAACTGGTTTTCTCTTTTTAGGGAAGAAGGATAAAATTTACAAATTTGGGAAGTTTTTTTTTGAAACCCTAGCTTTCTAATCGGGCGTTGATCAAGGTGAGTTCGCTTGTCCGATCACTTTTATCTTATATTTTTGCATCATTGCCTGCAAGCTACTAGCCATAGTCATTCAATTTTAGTCGTGATTTCTCTGGAGGCCGGCGTGATTTGAAGTATTTATCTTACTTGAATGAGTTAATTGTAGGTGTGATTTCGGGTTTTTAGCTTGGATTGGAAATTTATTAGGGTTTCAATTAGTTGTGAAGCTTGTGGCGCTTGTTTGGCTGGTTTGGATTATTGTTAATGATTTTTGGTATTTATTTGATCTGAAATGAATGTTTCGGTTTAGGTTTGTTATGCATAATGCAAGTTGATCAGATAGAGTAGCTATGCAAAGGAATTCATTTTTTTGGTAATGCTACTCTGTGTTTGGCTATTTGTAAACAAAACGGGAATTTATCGGCGTTGAGTTGCAAAATTTCTGTTTCTGGTTAAATTTGTTGCTCAGCTGTGTTTTTTGGTTTTATATTTGGACGAGAATCATGATTTGACAGTTGAGTACATTAAGGGATCCGCTTTCTTAAGCATTATGGTTTGCTTTTAACTATGGAATTGAGTTGCGTAGTTTGTTAGCGTACATTGTTTTTCTTTCATATATTTATCTTTCCATTTTGCTTTTTTTGGGCTAAAAAATGAAAAAAGCTAAGATCAGTTATTTTTTTACTGCATTGCCAAATATGGCAATCTCCATAAGATTTCATGTGTCTTTAAGCTTATTACTGCAAATCCCTAATCAATCAAATACATTCCTTTGCTAGCCAAGTTCTTTTCATTGACCACGTATATTTACAGGAAAAGAAATGAAAGGCAAGTTTGATAGGCTGTGTTATTGTCGTTCAACTACTATTTTATGTTCATTGGTCTAATATGTTTATCAGTGGATTTAGGTTAAATGTAATATTTCACAAATAATCTTGTTTTTTATTGCAGGTTTTGTTGTTTTCCCTATTTACTTGTTGACTTGATCCAAATCCTCTCATGTCCAATGATTACAAGCAACACTCATTGCTACATTGTACTCTCCTCTTTGTCTGGATTCTTAGTAACTTTAAGGCTGCGTTAAGTCTTTGAAATGGCTGCAAACAGCAGATTTGATTATTCTTTGAGTAGCCCTGATGGGCCTACTTATTCCAATGGGCAGCGGGGATCATATTCCGCTGCTACGCTAGAAAAGTTGGGAAGCTTTCGTGAAGGTTCAGATCGTATCCTCTCGTCACCTCCTGGCACATCAAAGGCTAATGCTGCGGCATTCCAAGGAGATATGATTTGCTTACTGCAGTCTCTTGCTTCAGATCTTAAGGTCATTACTACTGATCATCGCTTAAATCGATCAGGAGAGATGAAAAGGGCAGTGACTAATATCTTTGGAACATATGCCAATGATACTTCATCAGTGGCATTCGGCACAAAGCCATTAACTTCTTCCTGTTTGGAGGAGATTAAACGCTTAAAGAATAATCTGCAAGACCATGTTACCAAAGCAAGGTACAGCTCCAGGTTTCATATCATGTAATTTAATTCTTATATGCTGTATTTATTTGAATAAATTTAAAGATACATTTTTCAGTGATTGACGTTTACAATTTCCTTTTTTTGTTTCAATAATTATTTTTAATTTTCTTTGAAATAAAATGGGCTGACAGCGTTTAATCAGGAGAGTTTTATTATTATTTTTAAAATTTATTCAGGTTTTTCTTTTAGTTTAGACAAATGCTTATTCCATGCAGGGATAGGGTTAAAATTTTTGGTGATGCTTCTTCGAAGATTGACAAGTTCTGTCATATTATCTTAAAAAAACGCTCTCGAGTTGACTCCTTTTCAGGCGAGCGATCTACTGGATTAAATCAAGGAAGTATTTCTAAGATTGGGCCTCAGAGTCATCTGTCTGGATGTGTCCTTGAGGTTGGGTCTCAAAGATTAGAAGACAAGGCCAAAATTAGTGTACCCAACAGAAGGATTCGAACTTCTCTTGTTGAGGTATAGCTTTGCTTCTTGATTCTCAGTATTATTGTCTACTTATTTTATGAAACCAGTTACCACTTTATATTTAACTTTTTTTAGATAATGTTTTGCTTAATTTACTCTGTGATCTTCAGCTATTGTTTAAGAAATTATTATGAATGCTTAAACTTGATTTACATGTGAACTAAAGTCAGTCTTTCTTCTCTACAGTCTTTGCTCCATTCTAGTATCATCAAGCATCACCATTTACTAGGTTTAATATCAATAATACACGCTTTAGTTATAACACTGTTCAATTCTTTCTTTCCTTTTTTGCTATATTTTTTGCTATTGTCAATATTTGTGGTTATGTTGACCATTAATGATAAATTTTCTCTCATAGTGTTTCACACCAAGAGTATCATAACGTGTAACATTCCAAGTTTATAACTTTCACAACAACCACCCTTGGTTAAAGAGATGGATTATGTATGGAACAATGGGTATCTTCATTATTTTTTGTTTGTTTGTGGTTTCTTGGTAAGTGTCGATAGAGGGCTTATCTGCTTGTTTGATTTATTTTGATGGATGTACAGGCTAATGGAACTTCCAGAACCTCTGGGCCTCTGGAGAGGGATAAAGACATTTTAAAATCAACAAATGGCAGTGCAGCTCAGGGGGATGAGAGTGATCGAGGATTTTCAACGGTTGTAGATGGTTGGGAAAGGTCAAGGATGAAGAAAAAACGCTCAGTAATTAAATCAGATGTTTCAGCAAGTTCTGGCCTTGTTAAATCTCAATTTGATCGGGAAACTAAACGAGTAATGCAGCAAAAGCTTGGCAGTGATGTTCGACCAAAACTTAATTATTCACATAGCTTCAGGTACAGTATTCTGATTGTTCAGCTCTTTGGCCTCTTCACAATTGTCACCTCAGTATTTGTTGTCTTAGGCTTTGTTTGAAATGGTTTTTTTACTGCTTCTTAAAGCAGCTTTTTAGTACACAGGTTTTAATTTTTATACTAAAAAGGTGCTTCAGGAAGGAAGCAGTTGGAAAGCCGTCCCAAACGGAGCCTTAGTTGCACATTTCTGTTTTTTTACTTCAGTATGACTTGGCAGGAGTGTTAATTAAGTGCAGTTTTTCAGGTCAGCATCCAATACTAATACAACCCTTGCTGGAAAGATAGATTCAAGTGCTCAACAAAATGCTACCAGCGTACGTTCAAGGAATGAACAAAATCACGTTTCAGTCCCTAATGACAGAAGAGATGCTCGATTTTGTCCTGATACTGAAAGCCCCTCTCTGAGAGTTATTAGCAAGTAAGACATTTTCTTAGAGTACATTTTTTTTTACGAGCTATATTAGATAGTAATTATGGGTTATATGTCCTTCCTAGTATTTGAAGCAACAGATAATTCCAAAAGGAATAATTAATAATGTTTTCCTTGTTTGTTAGGGCTAGTTTGCCATTTTTCTAATTACCATGTGTTTTTACTGTGATTAATTCTGAGAAACTGCTATTCTTTCCTTCTTTGTCCTGAAGTTTGATTTTATATCACTTAACATTTTTTGTTGCTGCTTCATTTGTCTCTGAAATCATTTTCTTACTGCCATCGGTATTCAGGCTTAACAGCCGAGAAGATACTTGTGTTGCAAGTACCACATTGCCAAAATTTGGATCTGCTCGAGGACCGCGCTCCAATTCGGGTTCACTGTCCAAAACTTCTCCTAACATCCATCGAGTGGTGGGAAATCCTGAGGACATGGAGCCGCCTCAAACTCTTGGTGTTGTCAATAGGAAAAGATCAGCTTCTATAAGGTCCTCATCACCTCCTGTAGGCCAGTGGGCTGTACAAAGGCCACAAAAAATGTCCCGTTCTTCGAGAAGGTCGAGTTTGTCCCCTCTTATTTCAAGCCATGATGAGTTGTCTATATCAGAGACTGCAGAAGATGCATTGATCAATCATGATGATTTGGCGGGGACAAGACGTGAATCTTCGAATGCTTCCCAGCATAATAAAATGAGAGGGGATAATTTTGCACCAGCTTCGTTGTCAGAAAGTGAAGAATCCGGTGTGCAAGAAAACAAGCTTAAAGATAAGGTTAAGAAACGCATGGATATAAAAGGTAAACCTGTTCAAGCTGTTCAGAAGTTTACAAATCTTATCATGCCATCAAGGAAGAATGGGATGGCTGTTGAAGAAGATTGCGGGGATGTTGATCGTAGGCAAGGGAGAATAAGGCGAGGATTTGCTCCTGTAAGGTCTGGTATGCCTGCAGCTATTGAAAAACTTAGTGATGTTGTCACTACAAAACAGCAGAGGAGTGCTAGACATGGATCGGAGAGAGTTGAAAGGTGATTAGTTATCTCGTCTAGTATCAGCAATGATTACTTTCTCAACTATCAATTTAAACTAATTAAATAATTAATTTCAACTTGCAATGGAGCCTTTTCTAATTATATTTATCTTATTTATTTTATTCAGTAAACCAGGTCGTCCGCCTATTAAGAAGTTGTCTGAACGAAAGAGTTATGCACGACCGAGGCAATTGATAAGCAGTTCATCAATGGAGTTTTCTGGTACTTTGTTATATCGTAGGACAAATTAATGTTGTCATAGAGCTTACTCTAATTGAACAAATTCGTCAAACTTTTAATTTTTGTTTCCTTTTTTATGTGTTTGCGTTGCCTTCTGTCAGATGAAGTTGCTGATGATCATGAAGAGCTTGTGGCTGCTGCAACTGCTGCCCTTGATACTGGTATTACTTCTCTCATATAACTAAGTTTTTCTTTATATTTTGGGATAAAATACCACCAATCAATCTAAAACATGAGGCTTTGCTTGCCACAGTAGTTTCCTCTTGTTTGAGGTCGCACATTTAATCACTGAAACATCTTATCTGCCAAATTAATGCAAGGCTGTGCAAGAATGACCCTCCCAAAGCCCCACAATTGGTGGGAAACTTGTCCTTGGGTATCATGGTCTTTTTTTTGCCATTTTTATTAACAAAGACATCTTTTTTATTTGCATATTTGTTGATCAGGACGGATATGTTTCGGTTCATTCTGGAACCAGGTAGAACCTGTCTTTAGTTTTGTTTCCACGGAAGACACAACTTTCTTGCGTGAACAGGTAATAATTGGAATATATGCTTGCTACCACTTTATTATACTTGTATTTGTGCATTTGAAATTTGGGCTTGTTGAGGGGAGAAATTATGTGATCTTATTTGCTAACAATAATGCCTATTTGTAGCATTTAAGATGAATACAATAGACATAAATTAAATGAGAAAATAAAGGTAAGTAATGGAGAATCAATATAAATCTTCCCAAATTATATGCTCTACTTTTATAATGATTTTCTAAAATTCCTAATTCCTATTATGCTAACACTCATTCTCAAGATAGAGCGTATATATTTATTAGCTTCAACTTGTTATATAAGCAAAATAATGAGAGAAGACCAATAGTTTTGGGCAAGATATCCGTCACTTATTTTGAATTGGAAATATGAGCAACAATCTTGATAGAAAGCATAACATTCGGGATGAAATGACTATCAAAACATAGATGAATTTGGTCCTTTCGTGAATAGCTAGATTATTGACAAGGTATATGGCTACATGATCGTTAATAATGTAGAGCCATAGGCTCAATTATTGAAAAACTGAATTCTTTTAACATCTTGACCTACATCATTTGGCATATAGAATGAGCCATGTCTCTATGTTATGTTTTAGCAATATACCTAACTACAACAATTTGATTCCAACACTTAAAAGGAATCTATATTAACTCCTAAAAAATACTATATATAGAATTTTACTTTCTATAATCAACAGTTCTAGCATATCCAATGTCGGTGAATGTTAAAATATTATACTACTCAAGCTGAGTGTACGACTAACCTTTTCCAAGAGTTATTTATTTATTTATTTGAGAATATGAAGAACAACATATCAATGGTATGTTTGTGTTGCACTAGTTCATAAACATCACAATGAAATCCTATGTTATTAATTTTTTTGAATAACAAAGAAAATATTAGCTGACCCCATGTAGTGAGATAAAGGCTTAATATTGTTATTTTTGTTGTAACAAAGAAAATATGATTTTGAGAATAATAACTGATAAGTGGCCAAGGTGTATGTGATGAAGCTTGATTATCTTTTTATTGGACTTTAGGGTTAATGAGAGAAGAAATAATACTAAAGTTGTATAAATTTTTTTGATTAATTAATTCCTTATGGTGGTTTAGACCATCCCTTTTTTTAGCAAGCTTAATCATCCTCTTCACGTCTTGGTCCTGAAAGACACAATATAAAGGATAAAATACAATAATGTATTTAGAATATTTAATTAGCTTTTGAATGAATATTTGATTGGTAAAAGGCACAACAACAAAAACAATATGAAGCCTTTATCCCACTACGTGGGTACATGTATCATTTTTCTCCATTATGTCCTATTAAGAATCAAATTTTTTCTTAAATCTAATAAAGAAAGGCCATTTCTAATATTTTTTAACTAAGTCTTTTTAGGTCTACCTCTGTCTTTCTTAATATAAGTCAAATCTAATACATCTATTCTCCTAATCGGGTCATTGGAAGGCTGCAGTTTTATGTGACCAAACCATCTAAGGCGACTCTTTCTAATCTTATCTCCACTAGAGCTACTCTAACCTTTTCATGTATATGCTCATTTTGTATCCTATCTCTAAGAGTAAAGCCACTCATTCACCTTAACACCCTTATCTATGCAATATTTAATATTATGCTTCTCTTTTAGTGGCCAACATTTTGCACTATAAAGCATTGTGGGTCTCACCGCCATCTTATAGAATTTTCTCTTAAGTTTAAGGGGGACTTTTCTATCACACAACAAACCTGATGCATTCCTCTACTTCAATCATCCAACTTGAATTATGCTAATAATATCCTCATCTATTTCACCATCACTCTGAATAATGAACCCATGATATCTAAAATGTGTATTATAATTAATGACTTGATCGCCCAAAGTCACAATTCCCCGGCTATATCCATTACTACTAAAATTACACTCAATATATTCAGTTTTAGATCTACTCAAATGAAAATGTTCAGACTCTAAGGTTGACCTTCATAATTCAAGTTTGCCTTCAACTCCCTCTCTAGTCTTATCAACAAGAAGAATATCATCATTGTTTAGGCACATTGAAAATATATTTGAGTATGAGGGATTTGTTTATTAAAATATCTCCTTGATTAGCCACTATGGTAAGGGATTTATTGATCATGATTATTTTCTTATTATTAGGATTAGGTGCATATGAAACAAAATTTAGGAGAGGAGTTAGTCGTATGATATATATCTTCTGAATCAATGATCCAAGAGTTAGAAATGGAGATCTCTATGTCTTTAAAGATATGAAAAGATGTGGTTATACTTGAGAATGCTCGAGCACAATTACTTTATATAGATGTTCTTTTAGGTTTTACTTGCATGCATTTTTTGTCTTTATGTGTCTTGTAAATGACACAGTTTCTTTTTCCTTTTAAGAACATGTGAACGGATCATGGCTATTTATAATAGCTCTTTCATTCATTGGCTTATTGAATGGATGTTTTGTTACTCTCTTTTTTTATTTAGAATGCATTTCCTCAATTCTTAGAGTACTTGAGATCAAGGTATTTGAGTATTGTTATTTTTGTCCACAGAGAGGGAAAATTGTAGTTAACAAAAAATAAAAGAAATGCAACAATGCAGTAATGTAGGCTGTAACAATGAGTCTAATTTGCATCAATGCAACGAGGAATGCTGCAACATGGAAAATTTCTACAAATATTGTTTTTTTTCCTGCTCAATATTCGTCTATTTCATATCAAGACAAGAAGAGAATTATTTATTAAATTTAAATTATTAAAATATGTTAAAAATGACAATATCTAACTAATAAAAAAGTTTCTAGATAATAAATATTTGAATCAAATTCTAACACTAATATTTTTGAGAAGTAATTCATCTCAAGCCCATTTATCTTACACCCTAGTGTTTCAAACCCATTTTTCTTTCACCCAAACATTAGTCCTTGCGGCTGAGATCTTGCCATCTATTTGGAAATATTAAATTTGTTTTACCAATTAGATGTATTTTTTGTTGAATGATTAAAGTATCCGTTATTAACATATGTTACAACAACAACAACAACAATAATATAAAACCTTTATCCCACTACGTGGGTTTAGCCACATGAATCATTTTTCTCCATTGTGCCCGTTAAGAGTCAAATTCTCATTTAAATCTAATAAAAAATGCAATTTGTAATACTTTCTAGCAAGTCTTTTTGGGTCTACCTCTACCTTTCTTAACATAGGCCAAATCTAATACATCTACTTTCCTAATCGGGTCATTGAAAGGCCAATGTATTATGTGACCAAACCATCGAAGGCGAGTCTCTCTAATCTTATTTTTCACTGGGGGTACTCCAACCTTTTCATGTATATACTCATTTCACATTTTATCTCTAAGAAAGCCATTCATCCACCTGAATATCCTCATCTCTACAACACTTAATTTTATGCTTCTTTTAATAGCCAATATTCGGATAAGAAATACTTGAGTTCGCAAGTAACCCTAAGGTAATACTTGAGTTCGCAAGCAAACCTAACCCAAATCGGCGAACAAACAGCAGCCAAATGGCTGTCCACAGGAGAAAAACAGCAGAAATCTGCTGTTTACAGCAGAAAAATAGCACTTGTCCGGAAAAATATGAGAGAAAACTCAAAGAAAAGCTTGTATTTCACTAGTAGATGAATAAAAAACAGCAAGATACAATTGATCCTTAATTCGAGAGGAGGATCGATCTCTCCCAAATCTCTAGACGCCGCTAGAGCCCAAAAAAACCTAAATATAAGAGATCAAATTTCAGCCAAATTCAAGATGATCAAACCCTCCCAAAACAAAGTATTTAATGCATACAAATCAAAAGGAATTCCCTAAAAAATCCCTACATTCAATTTCCCTCCTAGAAACCATTCAAAAACCTTCCTAAATGAGCTCCCGTGGAACGTGCGGGCGTGCGACTAACGGAAGAGGTAGAGACGTTCCGCCCGTTCTCCGCCTGGGCCGGTCCCGCGTGGACCAGCTGAACCGGTCCAATGGACCGGTCTAATAATACTCCCCTCCCAAAGATCCACCTTGTCCGCAAGGTGGAAAGATGACACCCTCCATTCCTTCTTCATCACAAACGATAAGAACCTGAAAAGTTCGGTCCTTACACCTGTGCCTCGGCATATATCTCTCGTCACATCTGAAACAAAGTCCATTTGCCCTCTTCTCCTGTAATTCTGTCTCTGTGAGCTTCTTGAAGTTGTCCCCAGGTCTTCCTCCTGCGGTCTTTTCCTTCGAAGTCCCTCGAAGAGTATCCGGTGTCGGCTCCTTGGATTTCAATAAAATGGTGGTCATCCTGTACGAGCCTCATGAGCTGTCGCCTCCCGTCTCTCCCTCCAGGTGTCTCTGATCTTCTACCAATTGAGCTAGCTCCATAGCCTCTCCCAAGTCACGAGGCCTCTTTACTCTAACCGCTGCTCGGATCTCTGGTGTCAATCCCTTCATAAAGTTTCCCTCTAGCACTGTCTCAGAAAGGTGGTCCAATCGGCTACCAAGGTACTCGAATCTCTCCCGGTATTTCGTCATTGAACCCTCCTATGTCAAGGCAAAGAACTGCTCGTAGAAGTCTCCTCCTCTGCCAGTTCAGAAACGCTCTACCAAGCAATCCTTAAACTCTCTCCAACTTCGTATGGGTCGTCACATGTCCCTCCTCTGATACTAAGACAAAGCCTTCCCTTCTAAACATAGGCCTGTCGCCGTCAATCTCTCCTTCTCTGTCAGCCCATTGACGACGAAATATCTTTCTACCTTGTAGATCCACCCGTGTGCATCCTCCCCCTCAAAGATTGTCATATTCACTTTCCTCACCCTTGGGTTACACCCATTTCCCCTAAATCCTCCATAACCTCCCATTCCTCGAAGCAGACACGATCTTCCCTCCGGCGATCATACCCAAACCATACATCAAAATTCCCTCTTCTTCTTTCAAAATCAGCACCATGGCGATCGAAATCATCTCCTCGCCTTACAAATTCAGCACCCCTTCTTGCATAGCCAATGCTCATCTCCTCCCTAGAAAGTGGTTCTAGAGGCGGCATTCCGTCTTCTCCCTCCAGGATCTCCACTTCTGGCTTTTTCCTTCCCCTAGACGTGTTAGGGTTCTCATCTCTTCCATGGCCTCCTGTAGTTTCCTTTGCTTCTGATATCACCGGTTTGGTTTTGGCTTCAAGCAATTTCTTCAATAAGTCTTCCATTACGGCAAACTTTTCCTCCATCTTTTTATTGACGGATGCAATCTGACTTTGAAAATAAGCCATCTTTTCCTCAAAATATGCTTTGAGTTGCCCAAGTTCTCCCTCCAAAATTTCCACTTTTCTTCCGGCCATTGGTTCCCCTTCGATCGACGTGCTTTGATACCAATTTGATAGGAAATACTTGAGTTCGCAAGTAACCCTAAGGTAATACTTGAGTTCGCAAGCAAACCTAACCCAAATCGGCGAACAAACAGCAGCCAAATGGCTGTCCACAGCAGGAAAACAGCACTTGTCCGGGAAAATCTGAGAGAAAACTCAAAGGAAAGCTTGTATTTCACTAGTAGATGAATAAAAAACAGCAAGATACAATTGATCCTCAATTCGAGAGGAGGATCGATCTCTCCCAAATCTCTAGACGCCGCTAGAGCCCAAAGAAACCTAAATATAGAGATATCAAATTTCAGACAAATTCAAGATGATCAAACCCTCCCAAAACAAAGTATTTAATGCATACAAATCAAAAGGAATTCCCTAAACAATCCCTACATTCAATTTCCCTCCTAGAAACCATTCAAAAACCTTCCTAAATGAGCTCCCGTGGAACGTGCGGGCATGCGGCTGACGTAAGAGGCGGAGACGTTCCGCCCGTTCTCCGCCTGGGCCGGTCCCGCGTGGATCGGCTGGACCGGTCTAACATATTCCGCTCCATAAAATATTGCAGGTCTCATCACCATTTTACAAAAAATTTCCCTTAAGTTTGAGGGGTACTTTTCTATCACAAAACTAGCCTGATGCATCCCTCGACTTCAATCATCCAACTTTAATTCTACTAAAAATAATATCCTCGTCTATTCCACCATCTTTTTGAACAATAGACCCGAGATATCCAAAACGTGTACTCTTTTTAATGACTTGATTGCCCAAAGTCACAATCCCACCACTAGATCTATTCCTGCTAAAATTACACTCCATGCATTCGGCTTTAAATTTATTCAAATGAAAACTTTTATACTCTACGGTTGACCTCCATAATTCAAGTTTTCATTTAACTCCCACTAGTCTTATCAACAAGAAGAATATCATTAGCAAAAAGCATACACAAGGGTATGTATATCTTCTTGCAAATGTCTAGTTAGAACATCCATGACTAAAGCAAAAAGATATGGGATTAAAGCTGATCATTGATGTAATCCTACTAAAAGAGGAAAATACTTGATCGAATCACCTTGTGTTTGAATTCACGTAATAGCTCTTGCATACGTTATCCTTCATGACTTGAATATAGCCATTATTAACTCCTTTCTTTTCTAGTATTCTCCAAAGCACTTTTCTTGGAACTTTATCATATGTTTTCTCTAAATCAATAAATATCATATGTAGATCTCCTTATTCTCTCTATATTTCTCCACCAAACCTCTCAATAAATGTGTTGCTTCCATCGTAGACCTACCCAACATGAATCCAAATTGATTTTGAAAAACAATAGTATCACGTCGTAACCTATGCTCAATAACTCTCTCCCATAGTTTTAATGCATGAAGCATTAACTTAATCCCTTTATAATTTGCACATTATTGTGCATCACCTTTATTCTTAAAAAGAGAAACCAACATACTGCTTTTACCCTTATATGACATCTTTCACGTCTTCAAAATAATATTCAAATCTTTCTTTTGGGATTTTATATTTTGCCAAACCTCTTTGAGCTTTATAATATCTGGCAAATATTTTTTGAGAGGTGCATGATAATTACACCTTTTTAATTAACCTTTTGCTTTCTTAAATTGGAGACATTTTGTACTTTTTATAGCTGTGAATTGATATGACGTTCTTTTGTTTTTTTGTTTTTCAGATTGATAAGGAACATGTTGTAATGCCATCAGCAGCAGTTGTTGCCAACAGGTGCGAAAGCAATGCCTTCTCTAATGGAGTTAACTTTTATGGATGTGAGAGAGAAACAGTATTTACCAAGCAGACAACGAAATCAGACCATCTTCTAGAACAATTTATGCCGCAGTGCGTGTCATACTCTGGAATTTCGATTTGTCAGGCACTTATTTCTGCTATAATTGAAGAAGATGACATGGATAATCTTTACAACACCGGTGATTGCGCGGAAGCATATTCATGTAATGATTTATATGCCGCACGTTTTGAGCTTGACAAAGACTTGGAAACAAAAGGTTTGAACTTGCATCTGCTGGAAGACTGCCAAACCACTGGAAGAAATTTAGATTATTATAAAGTTGATCCTAATCGGAGATTCCATGATGAAATTTCACGGGAGAGTTTGGGAACAAATGGAATACCTGAAACAGTTAATAGACCATTATCAAGTCCTCACCAAGCCTTGAATCAATTGGCACCAAATCAGACAACGCCATTTAGCACATATTGTTCTGAATTTCTATACAACCAGATGAGCTTCAATGACAGACTTATTCTAGAGCTGAGTGAAATTGGGCTTTACCCAGAACCTGTGGTACGTTTGTTTTTTGATTTCTATGACAGACAACTATATCTTTGATGATTATTTTTGCTTCATGTTATAGATTTTACTTCTGTTCTAGTTGCTATTTGATGGTGGCCAGCTTATGCATAATACTGTACTTATTCTTGACAACTATCTTAGATGACTTGAAATTCCTTCTTTTGTTGATGAACGAAATAACAAAGTACAAACTAACTGTTAATAAACTACTAACACTGTACTACTAAACTGTTAATTACCTGATAATAAATTGACAATAAAATTGATTACGTATGCTAGAATAGCACTAACAATAATGTAGTTTAAAAGAAATAACATAAATAAATAAAAAGAAAAATTTCGAATTGATGTTTGGATTAATTCCCATGGCTACAAATTACTTCACGTCAAACAGTGGCAATGATAATATTCTCTAAGTACACATCATGTCCATATGTTATATACTTATATATAATCAATTAATGCATGGTGCATTTAATGAGCTAGAGGAGAATGCGATTTTTAAGGAGCAACAGTGATGCAAGTATGAAAACTAATTGATGTAGGATGGGGTATGGGGGTGGGGGAAATTTGAAGTTTGAATTAATTAATTCTCATAACGGGATATCCAATTAGAGAATTAATTAATGGAGGGAAATTGATTGTAGAGGGAATATGGAAAGGGGATGGGCCGGCCATAAGTGGAGAGAATTAATTGGGATTTGATTTAAAGACTTTCGTTTAGGAATTCATTCAAAATTCAAAATTGAATTGAATAAATAATATCAAAGCTTCCCAAATGAGATTGTATGGAAAAAGGAAAGTAGACTCCAATCAAGAGCAAGAGGGGGGAAAGGGCGGCGGGTAGGAAGGGGCCGGCTATGGGAAGAGGGAAAGGGGCTAGGTGGATTAATTGTGTGGGCAAGCAATTACTGCGATTAAGGAATTAAATTTGAATTTAATTTCATATTTAAAGAGAATTAAGGAGGTTTCATAAATTAGGCTTAAGGAATAGGAAATAAAATTTTGAAATTTAAATAATTTTGAATTCAAAATTAAAACTTTCCTAACCTATGCTTGGATGTTTTAGGAATGTAATTAGGTGGCAATTTGAATTGGAAATCAAGGTTGGGAAGTTATGGTGGCCGGCGGCTAAGGATGGCTGGTGGACTTGGGTTCAATGGGGGAAGGGCTAGTGGTGGAGCTAAAGGCTGGTTGGGTGGAAGTAGGGAGAGGATGGAGAAGGCGAATAGGAACAACAAGAAGGAACAAAAAACAAAGAAACAAAAAGATAAAAGATAAAACCGCGAGCCTTGAACTCTTCCGAAGACTGAAGGGTGATACGTTGCCCTTCTCCAAGGGACTTCAAACCACGAGCCCAGACCCATCATGCGGCTGATGAAAACTCTGATTCCTTCCCATAGGAATCTCACTAACGCGCTCCCAAAAGAACACAAGTGCAGAACACAAATTTTTATTATAATTCCATCATGCATAATACAAGAGAAGGAGCCTGTATATATAGGCCTCAAAAGAAACTAAAAGACAAATTTGCCCATTGAGCTTACATAAGACAAGACTCGTAAATAAAACAGGTAAAAAAGGAAAATTGCAAAATTAAATTAAAATACAATTAATAAACTAAAATAAAACAGAGTGATCTCGGCCATCGATCTTCGACTCTTCCTTTGAATATCGTCCACTGTCGGATGTCCGCATCACTAATACTCATTGGAAACACCAACTGTGCATGTTGAGACAAGACATAAATCTTTTGAGTTTTGATCTTTGCCTCAGTTGTTTTCATTTCTTCATATATTTTTTTTTGTGTAAACATAAATATGTTGATACTGTTTAGAATGGGTTGCATTCTCTAAAATTTGAGTTATTTTGGTTTAGTTCCATGTGTTGGTTTGAGGGTTTGAGCGGGTCCAGTCACCGGTTTCTTGCTTATGTTATTGATTTTTGGTTATTGTGAGCACTGTTCCTTTAAGTCATATCTCTGCTTGATAGCAGGTAGTTATTGCATTCTTACTGATCTGTAACCTTTTAGTTTCTTATTTGGGAGGTATTAATGGCGCCTACTTTGTTTCCACTTACTTTGCTTCTTGAAACTCGTGGCTGTTTGAATTGTTTTTGGAAGTTGGTTTCATCCTGGTACTGCAGTTCGTCATGATTTTCCTATTATGACTGAAGGTTGGGTCTTCTGATTCGTCATACTGGGTGATTCCCATATTTGCTTGCTGGCAATTTTTTTCTCAATTGATGAAAAAGCTCATATTCCTTTAAATCCTATATCTGCATTATAGTTGGGCTTTGACATTCCTTCTATATTTGACTGCAATGTAGTTGGGCCGTAGCTTTCCTTCTATAGTTTTAAAAGTGATTGAATGCAAGATTGACATATCCGAAACTTGTTTTGATTCGTGTGTTGCTGTTTTTTCCTATTTTATGAATGAAAACTTGCTACTTTTTGAGGTTTTAGGCAAGATTATGATAGACTACCAATTGTGTTCAAATTTTGATTATAAATGTTTTTAGGTTTGTAGAAATCAATCAACTGCTTGCTAAAATTCTTGTCTCTCAAATTTGTGTGTGCTGGTTAGATGTTAATTTTTCAATTACGGTGCAAGTCTTCTTGATAAATTTCGGTGTAAGCTTCTTGTACCAATGTGAGATTGTGATCTTCAATTTGTTGACTTTATCATTGTTTCCTTTTCATCTATGTATTTTGCTATTGGTTTTGTGTTTGGAATTAGAATTTGATGAAGTTTGCTATAACCTAGCTTTTCTTTTGCAATGTGAATCGTTATCACAGTACTTATTCTTGATTTCAAATTTTATTAAAAAATATAGACTTTGGATGTCTTGAAATTATTTTTTCTGCTGCAAGTGTGTTTGTTTTCTATTTTTTCATTTAATGATATGAAATTTTGCATTAACTTTTGTGAACTTTGATCATTTATGCATTCTTTTATTATCAATACCTAGGTTAGAATCAGTAAACCCTAAAATCTTAAGATGTCCAGTATCAAAATTGGGATCTGAGTTTATGATTTTATCATGATGTCAATTAGAATACATTAATTTGGTTTATAAAAAAAATTAATAAATGATACAATTTAAATGTAGTAAGTTATGTTATGGTTCTAAATAAATACAACATAAATATCATGTGGTTGAAAATTACATTCTTTCATTTGATGTGCGATATAACCTTGGGGAACTTTTAGAGTGGATCAATAATTTGGAAACCCGAAAAAGTCATTCTCATTTATTTTGATGTACTGTGCAAGTGAAATAAAATTAATATGGGTTGGCATGAAAAAAAAGAAAAAAAAAAAGAGAGTAATAGTTGCTCTTTGATGAATGTAGGGACCAATTGCATAATCAATTTAAGAGTTCTAAACGGAGCGATTTTAATATATTTATATATTATGCAAGGTTTGCTTTTAGCTGCACATGGTTTACTTATAGATCATTTTTTACCACTAGTTATTTTGTTGAAGGTCTTAGGCTAGGGATTATGAATGAACTAGGTTACCATTTACAAAAAATATTCTAGGAGAATTTATGTAGATATTTGGATGTTGAAGCATATTATGATTATTCTTAAATGGATTAGGCATGTTAAAAAAACAATGAAAAAAATAAAGCAATGATATTAAAACAACTAAAGTAAACATCAAAACTCAGGAGGTTGATGTGCTCGTCTAAATGCGTAGGATTTATGCTTTCAAACACTATAGTATTTTTAGATTTGCATCACTTCTCTTAAAAGTGTTTCGTGTCTTTGATCGAGTAAGAAATTTATTCCTGCTATAAATAAATGACTTAGATATCCCTTATTTATAGATAGAAAAAATAGCATGGTGCTAACAAATTTAATGACTAATTATAATAATCCTAAAAAGATAATGAAATTTAAAACCATAAATAACTCAAATATCAATGGCATCATAAAAATTATAGTTTATGTCCACGTCATAATTTGTATGGGCTAGTTATTTAAATTGCTTCATGTTATGCTAGTTTCATTACTTAAACATTATGTACTATTTAAGGAAGCATGTGATAGGAAGTGCTCGTAGAAATCCACTAATCCTTGGATGAAATTTAGTTTTAGCCGCTTCAAACACAATCCCCAAGAAGAATTAAGAGGAATAATCAAAGAAAAACCTTTTTAATTGATGATATAAGGGCAAAAACAAACAAGATATAATGGATTTTCAATTAGAGAGGAAGATCCAGCTCTCCCAAATCCCTAGGCACCGACTAGAGCCCAAACACCCTAAAAATAATCTAATTTCAACAAATAACACATAACCATAACCCTAGGGAAATAACCTATTTAAAATAAACATTAATGATGTAAATCTCAAAATAGCCCATCCTTTGAATTTTCCCTCCTAACCAATCCTTAATTTCATTCTTCAAATGGATGCTGGACCTCATCCCAAAGGGGGGTCGGAGTTTGAGGCAGAATAGGTTTGCCTCCTGTAAACAAGAGCCAGTCCCTCCTAGACCAACTGGACTGGTCGCTTCTGGACCTGTCTAACAATTCCCCCTCCTAAAGAGCCACATTGTTCGCAAGGTGGAAATATGGCTCCCTCCTCAATTTTCTCGTCATCATAAATGGTGAGAACCTGAAGAGTTTGGTCATTACATTTGTGCCCTGATGTATACTGCTCATCACATCTGATTATCTAAAACATCACCCTCTTCTCCTGTAACTCTATTTCTATGAACTTCTTGAAGTTTTTCTCAGGTCTCCCTCCTGCAGTCTTCTCCATTGGGGTCTCCTTAAGAGTACCCAATGTCGGCTCCTTTGATGTCAAAAAGGTGGCGGTCATCCTATACCAACCTCCTGAGTTGCTGCCTCCAGCCCCTCTCTTCAGGTGGCTCTGATCCTCTACTAACCAGGCTACCTCCATAGTCTCTTCCAAATCACGAGGCCTCATCACTCTAACTGTCACCCGAATATTTGGTTTGAGCACTTTCACAAAGTCTCCATTACGGTCTTCAGAAGCCGATCCAGTCGGCTGGCCAGGTGCTCAAACTGCTCATGGTACTCCGCTACTGTCCCTTCCTGTGTCAGGGCGAAGAGATGTTCATAGAAGTCTCCTCCGCTGGTTCGGAAACTTTCCAACATACAGTCCTTAAAATCCCTCCAAATCCGTATAGGTCGTCTCATATCCCTTCACTGGTACCATGCCAATTCTTTCCCCTCCAAGCACATCTCGGTCGCGGTTAGTCTCTCCTCCTCCATTAACCTATTGACGGTAAAGTAACTTTTCATCCTGTATATCCACCCATGTGCATCCTCTCCCTCAAAAATAGGCATCTTCAACTTCCTTACCCTCGGATCTCCTCCATTCCCCATGTTTCCTCCTTAATTTTCCATTCCCCATAGGGGTGATTACCCCCAAGTTTCTCAATAATCCCTTCTACGCTCATACCCAATGTTTTCGTCAAATTCACATTCTTCTTTCAAATTCAACACCTGTTGGATCATAATCAATCATCCTCCTTTCAAATTCAGCCCCTCTTCTTACAAATTCACTACTCCTTCATTTATAATCAGCCCCTCCTTTCAAATTTTGCTTCTCTCTTCTCAAATTCAGCACCCCTTTGTTCGTGTTCTACCCCCTCACGCCTCTCCCGATGCCCTTTACCTGACTCCTCTCTAGTAATAGACTCTAGGGGAGGCATTATCTTTTCTCTATCCAAAATCTCCACCTCTTGAGCTTCCCTTTGCCTTATCTGATTAGGGTTTTCCCCACTTCCTTGGAGGTCGGCGGCTTCCCTCGCCTTTGACGACACCCTTTTGGGTTGGCCCTCAAGCAACTTCTTCAACATTTCGTCCATGATGGAAAATTTCCCATAGATTTTCTCATGAAAGGCTGAAATTTGACTTTTGAAATCTGAAAATTAAGTTTGGAGATCCGAAATTTCAGATTTCAATTGTCCGATCTCCCGTTCCAACACTTCTACCTTTCTTCCGGCCATGGGTACCTGAATCTAGGCTCCAAACAACAAAAACGTCTAAAAAATAGCGGATCTGGTTTTCAAACAACAAAAAATTATCAATACGAAGGGGCAAAACGCAACATAAATCAGCAATGAAGTCTTTTTTTTCCCGCCAAGACAAAGCTTTGAAACCAATTTGATAGGAAGTCCTCGTAGAAATATGCTATTCCTTTGCTGACATTTAATTTCAGCAGCCCAAACAAAATCCCCAAGAAGAATTAAGAAGAATAATCAAAGAAAACCCCTTTTAAATGATGCTATGTTGAAGAAAACAAATAAGATACAATGGATCTTCAGTTGGAGAGGAAGATCCGACTCTCCCAAATCTCTAGCTGGCCTAAGAACAATCTAGTTTTAGCAAATAACACATAACCCTATCCTAGGGAAACAACCTACTTAAAACAAACAATTATGTAAATCCCAAAACAGCCTTTCCTTTGAATTTTCCCTCCTAACCAAGCCTTAATTTGCTCCTTCAAATGGCTGCTGAACCCCACCCCAAAGGGGGGCGGGAGTTTGAGGCAGAATGGGTCCGCCTATTATAAATAGGGGTTAGTCCCTCCTAGTCCGATCTAACAACATGTAATGCAACAAATACATTCCTTTGGCATAAAGCTTTTGATAAAATTTTAGGATGACTAATGTCAAATGGATTCCATTTTATGATGGTTTATGGTTACATATTTTCATTTTTGTTGTCTGCGCCTGTTTCATTATGACTACAAATTTGTTATTCTCTTACTCTCTTATGGCAGATTATTATGTTTATGGCATTTGTTGCCCAACATTTGGTGCTCTGTTCCTTTTCTTGCTAGCTCAATTTATAAGCACAAAGATTTCAATAGCCGATTATGTATTGTGTGGCTGAATACATCTCACATAAATCAGACTTTTAATGCAATTTTAAGATTGAAGTGGATACATCTATAATCTAATGGAATAAATTAAAAATTAAGTTTTGTTGGGAAAATATGAGCGTAATGGATCACAACCTTTTTAAATATGCTTCATATTCATGTTAAACTTTGGTTTTGTGCTCTTGGTAGTAAACTTTTGTAGATTGTTAATACTGCACTTGCTTTCTCATTTTAGCCTGATTTGACTTATGGAGAAGGGGAAGATATCACTAAAGGCATCCACATACTAGAGGAGAAGCTCCATGAGCAGGTATGTATTTCAGTGTACAGCAGTTCTTTTTATTATCATTCAAATTTCTTCTTCCATCATCTTTTTTATTTGTTAATCTAGTTGATTTTTTTATGTATCGCATTTGTGTGTGAGACGCACTTTGCCTACTAATTCAGTTGGAAAAAAAATTATAACATTCCCTGATGTATAATTCTCATTATGTATACTTATAACATTTTGATATTTAACAGGCTTCTAATCGGAAAAACCTGCTCCGTAAGCTAGAGAAGGGTGTTATGGATGCCAATGAACTTCAACAGAGGTAGGCTTTCCTATGTGCTGATCATTGTCTTCATCCCTTATTTGAGATGAACATGTTTTACTAAATTTAAATACTCTAGACTTTATATCTTCTTATCAATTGTTCTCAGTGCGCAATATTTTTTTTACACATTTTGTAACTCTTCTCCAATGTATTGCAACTTACACTTTCTTCTTTTTCTGACTTCAGGAATTTAGAGCGTTTGGCAATGGATTGTCTTGTACTGATGGCATATGACAGATATATGGTAAAAAAAATTTCTTCATCATATATCTATTTCAGTAGTTCTGCTGTACTGATTTATATTCAATTTATTGTGAAAAGTTGATAGATAATTTCATTGGCACATTCACTTACAATAGTTTACTTAATTTATCTTTCCTAGTCATTTATGGTTCTACACGGTTGAAAGCATATTTCCAAATTTGCTCAAGATTTGTATTCATCTCATAATTTTCTCCATCACGGCCTTCATCCATCATAGGGAAACTCTTTGCTTAATATTATGGAACATTTCATTTCTTGAGATATTTTTTACCAAATTCAAACTTCTTGGAGATTAAATGAGAGGTATCCAACGATTAGGAATTTTATATAAAATGCTGGTAATGGTTTCCCCTTTTTATGTGTGGCTCTGGTCTCTGGACATGAAAATATTGACATAGTTATGACCTCTTTCAGAAAAATCCGTGCTTTGTATGTTGTTCGTATTGCTTTTCTCAAAACTTGTGTGGTTGCTATACTTTTGAGTTTTATTCTCCCTTTCACTTCTCTTGAGAAGATGTGACTACTCATTGCCTAAACAGAGTTACCTTCATATTTTGCTCAACATCTGTCTCTATCCAACCGCACAACTCCTTTCGAGCTATTCCACAATCCCCGCAAATGAAAATAAAAGTGCCACCTGATCTATTTTCAGGGAACTTCACGGATATCCTGCACCTGGATTTCTATGTTAAGTCGTTTTCGCTGTATTTGTCTTGAGGAGAGGTATATAGATTGTGCTGTACATCATCAGATGATATAGAGATATATTCTTCTTGTGTTATTACATTTCACGTGTCAGGAGTAAGATATGATATCATGATTTATATCCTCATTTCCTTCTCAGAAAACTTCAATGTTTCATTCCTGTTTCCCTACCTGTTCTGAAATATGCACTTTGGATGCCCTTTTAATTCAGAAAAAGGTAGTCTTTTTCTTGGAATTGACATCATTTTTCTATGATCTACTAAACAAAGAGGCTATTTAGCTGATTTTATATTGGGAATGAGGATTATGCTATTGTTCACTGATAATATAGTTATTTTTTTTATTTATTTGTTGCTTTGGCAAGCAGTCTTGCTGGGGTCCTAGTGCTTCTGGAAGCAAGAATGTGAACAAATTTGCAAAACATGCTGCCCTGGCTTTCATCAAACGAACATTAACAAGATGTAAGAAGTTTGAAGAAACGGGTATTAGTTGCTTTCATGAGCCTGTTTTCAGGGACATCTTCCTTTCTGCATCTTCTCATAGTGGCCATTTGAACGTTACAGACCTTCCTGCTGATGGTGAGCCTTCTTTTTTGTTTTCACATAATTTGGCAGTTCTACAATCTTTTTCTGTTTTGAAACTGTTGGAATAGTTTGTTTTTATAGCTTTAGGGAATATGATTTGTGCAACTTTTAGTAGAATGATAACGCTGAACTTTACCAATCACATCCCATTTACAGCCTCACAGATTGCCAGAGGGGTGGATGCTCATGCTAAATCTTCCAATGCTGCACCATCAATAAATCCTCCTATAGAACATCCATTCAGCAACGAAGAAACCTGGTCAAATCACATTAAAAAGAAGGAAGTGTTGCTTGATGATGTTGTTGGCAATACATCTGGTCCTTCGTCGCGAACTTCACCAGGTCTTGGAAGTTCTTTAGCGAGCGGCGCAAAAGGAAAGCGAAGCGAGAGAGACCGGGACGGTAAGGGATACAACAGAGACTCAGCCTTCAAGAATTCCACCGCCAAGATCGGTAGGCCTTCGACGTCCATCTCGAAGGGGGAAAGGAAGAACAAAACAAAGCCAAAGGTCAAGACAACACAATTATCTGCTTCAGTCAATGTTCTTCATAGCAAGACTCCTGATATATCAGGCAGAGCAGGATCAGGAACTAGTAGAGATGTTAAGCAGAAAGAGGATTTGAACTTGAAATCAGCCAATGAAAATGATCCTATTGACTTGAGTCACCTTCAAATTCCTGATATGGATGTTGTTGATTTTGGTGGTCAAGGTCAAGATATTGCTTCATGGTTAAATTTTGAGGAAGAAGGAACACATGATCAGGAAGATTTCATGGGGCTTGAAATTCCTATGGATGATCTCTCTGAAGTTCACATAATGATATGAGATTCAGGAAAGCTTGTACAGTTTCTGTTCAATAGGCAGTTCCTTAACCATACTGGCACTGGCAGCTTAAAAACCTGTGAGTTGTCTATAGATTCTTTTAGGGTCCCTTAAATGGCCTACTTAACAGTGACAAGGACTTTTCTTTTGACCTTTTAGCTTTCTTTCATCCATACCATAGATGGATCTTGACTGTAAATATCTTTTGATCTTTTGTAAAGGCAGGCCTTAATAGCCCAAGCTTTGTTTATCCTGCTTTTGACATCTACATAGCAGGCTGCTTTGCCAATTGTATATACATTTATATCTTAATAAAAGTGCCATTTCCCTTTTATTATTAGCTTGTATTTGACAAGTTGATTATGATAGTAAAAATATTTTTTTAACTAATTTTTTTTTTACTAAAAAAAATTGTTTTAAAGAGCGGTAAGAAAGCTATCTCAAATAATATATTAAGGTTTTGTTTGGGACGTTTTTTTTTTCTACTTTTTAAAGCAGCTTTTTAATATAAAATAACAGCTTTAATTAGTTAGCTATTTGCTAAAAATTAACTAAAAAATTAAAATAATAAAGAAAATATTTTGAAAATAGAATGTTTAGAATTAGGGGAACAAAGGATTCTTAAATGATATTTGATTTTTGTTGGTATTATATCAATAATTAATCAATTTTATTATACTATAAAAAAATATTGGAATATTAAATGTTTAATTATGTCGGATATATGATACAAAAGCATTAAAAAAATTTCTAATAGTTAAAATTGAGTGATTAAGACTTCGTTTGAGACGACTTTTTTATTGTTTTTTAAAGCATTTTTTTAGTATAAAAATTAAAATTTTTGTACCAAATAGCTGTTTTAAAAAGAAGTAAGAAAATCGTCCCAAACGAAGCCTAAAATAGAGAATTTTTATCACTCAATTTTAGTTGATATCCATATTCAAATTTAATCAAGATAAGCATTATAGTTATTAAATATATTTTTAGATGAGCCTATTCTATTATTAATTGATCAAAATATATATTATCTCAACATAAATTTTATATGGCTATAAAATTTATTTTGATTAAAGTTTAGTTTGAGATAGCTTTTTTACTGTTTCTTAAAGCAGCTTTCTAGTACAAAAATATTAATTTTTGTATTAAATTATACTAAAAAGTTACTTTAAAAACAATTACAAAGTTATTCCAAATGAAGTCTAAATTTGCATTAGAATACCCTTTATTGTCACATTATGATTCATTAGAATTGGTTGAAATTAATATGGATGTTTAATCAAATAAGACAACATTAATAATTCTATAAGGCTCTATTTGAATGTCGTGAATATAAGTGAAAGAAAAAGAAAAAAAAAAGTAAAAAATTACAAATTAATCAATAGTTGTTTATTCATAATCATTTTGGCTCATCACTTAGCTTTTACTCTCCCCAACATCAACAATTAAAAAGACAAGAAAATAATTTATTTCACTTAAGCTTCATTTGTGACAAATTTTTTACTGCTTCTTAAATCAAAATTTTAGTAGAAAAATTAAAAATTTTATACTAAAAAATTACTTTAAGAAGCAGAAAAAAAGCTATCCCAAAACAAAATCTTAATGTTGATCGAAATTTTTCTTTGCATTCATGAATAAGTACTTATTTACAAAGATACTTTATTAATTTTTCCTTTTATTAATAAAATTGAATAACAACAACAACAACAACATCAAGCCTTTATCGCACTATGTGGGGTCGGCTACATGAATCCTTTTTCTCCATTGTGTCCTATTAAAAGTCAAATTCTCGTTTAAATCTAATAAAGATAGGTAATTTCTTATATTTTCTAACCAAGTCTTTTTAGGTCTACCCCTACCTTTCTTAACATAAGTCAAATCTAATACCTCTACTCTCCTAACCGGGTCATCGAAAGGCTGCCGTTTGATGTGATATTGAATAAATTTTTAAAACAATTATCATTATTAATTTAATTAGGTATTAAACCACTAAAAACATAAATTTAGAAATAGGCAAAGTCCGTCCATTCAATGGGCCACTTGCTCAACTTAAATAAAAAAAAAAAGATTTTAGGTGAGAGAAAGTAAGAGAGAGAAATAAACTAAAGAGAATAAATTGAATGTTGACATAGAGAAATAAAATAGGAGAGATAAATAAAAAAATTCAAAACATCTTTTTTTAGTGTTGTGTTGGAGTGGAGGTACATCAGAATTTTTATTATTTTTATTAAAATCTTAAATGCAAATAATTTTTTATTTTTAATAAATAATTTACAAAAAAAAAATTATGTGTTTTTATTCATAATGTATTATTATTATTTTAAATTTATCTTGTTTTGAAGAAAATTATATTTTAAATAAATATTTATCTTTTTTAAAAATAAAATTTTACTAAAAATTTCGTTATATTTATTAAACTTACATTTAGTACTTATTAGTATTAATTATAGAATTCATTTTAATTAACTAATGAAAAAATAAGATAAATATTTATATAAAATATTATTTTCCTTAAAATAAGATAAATTTAAAATAATAATGATACATTATGAATAAAAACACATAAAAATATGTATTTTTAAATTGATTATGATAAATTAAATTGTGAAATTTTTTTACACATAATAACTCATAAAAAAATTCATTCTAAATTATTTATTAAAAACAAGAAAAAAATATTTACATTTAACATTTTAATAAAAAAATTTATGATGTAACTACTTCTAACATACATGAATATCTCTCCTACTTTATTTCTCATACACTTTTTAGTTAATTTCGCTTTCCAACGTTACCTCTCTTGAAATCTTTTTTTAATATTTTTAGAACCTTAACAAGTCGCCATTCAATGGATGACCTTGCCTAGTTGTAAATTTAATTTTTTATTGCTTTAATTGCTAATTATATTATTAACAATAATTATTTTAAAAATTTGCCCACATATTTATCAGTCATTCCTTTTGCTGATTTTATTTTATTCATTATATTCACTGTGCAAGTTTGTATATATTATATATTTAATCATTTTGAACGATTTGATGAAACAATGAATGATTTCAGATACATGATATAGTAACACCACGTGATGCCCTATTAATTCATGTGATTCACGGATTGTGAGTCATAAGGAGTTGGAGATTGAATAGGAGTTATAAGGAGTTGGGCCAACATATTCGTATGATTCAATGGGAGTAATAAGAAGTATATTAATTGGGAGTTATAAGGGAAGTTTCATTGAGAGTCATTAGTGCAGGAGAAAGATACTATTAAGATATGCTTATTGAATATATAAATACTGATATCGATAATGTACTGATATTGTGACTAACGATAATATTATTTTTTGTTATTATATTTAATATTATTGGTTAGTATTATTTAATGTTACTAATATTATGACTGATGATGTAATAGATTGAGATGTGATGAACTATAGAAAACTAAATTGATACAAATAATCAGTATAAACATTGATACATATATTTCTTCACATGATTTATAGCATATTATCCTCTTTTATCTTGCATTGATTTTAGTTACTTGCTGGGCTATATGCTTATTATGTGGTTTTACATGTATTCAGGAAAGGATAAAGAACCTAACTGACACATCAAAAAAAATAAAAAGAGAGCAATAAAGAACCGTTTTAAAATCACCAATAATAGAGGGATTCATGAACAATATTGAAATTAAGATCTTTCTTTGAAACATAATAATTTTGGTCCACATCAGAGTGAACCTCCCCTTCCTTCTAGTTTAAATTAGGAGGCTCTCACTTTGGCTATAAGCAGAATGAGTGCCTGAATTATCCTTAATGAGATTAAAGGGAGTCGCATTGCCAACTAAAGACAACCCATTCGAATTGGGAACCTAATTGATAGCAGGAAAATTAGACTCACCCAGAGGCTCAGCATGTTGCTCATTTTTCATAGCATTCGCCACACAAATCTCATTCTCATTCACATTAAATCCACTAGAATAATTCACAGGAATCTGAATAATTAGGTCAAGCTTCAGGAATCTGAATAATTAGGTCAAGCTTCATGTAGCAATTGATAACATAATAAGCCCAATTAGAAAAAAATTAACTGTAATCTATATCGTTTGATAGCTTGATTATCACATGTTTAGGGTCCAAAGAAGTTATAGATAAATCCCTAGATAATTTTAAGTAAAAAAGTTTTCGGATGGTATCCAGAGGAGGTCGGCGAAAAGGGAACTTTCCGACAAGAAAAAATTGCCAAAGCTTGAACTTACTCTTCGGAAATCCAGAGAGAAGACAAACCATGATGAGTGGTTGATTTTAAGTCCAGAAAATTAGAAGAAGAAGAGGATCCAATGAGAGCCTCTCTTAGAGTTTGAGGTACCATCAAGAAAACATAGATCGAATCTCTTAAGAGGAAAGGTAGCCATCACTCGACAAAAAGCAAGAAAACGAGGAAAAAAATCCCAAAATTGAAATACCACAACAAACAAAGCAACCAGTTGCCACCTGACCAACTTGAAAGAGAAATTAACCAACCGCAAGAAGGTTTAGATAACTTCATTTACTGAGAAGCACGAAGATGACGAACTAAGAGATCCTGAAGGTGGTCGACGAGGAAGCATGAAAGACGGCCAGGATGCGAAACCCTAGCAGAGAACCCCTCGATAAAACCCAATTTCTCTCTCGAACGTTGAAAAATATTTTATCAAACTAAAAGTTTTTTACGACCTTTATAAAGAAAAATGCCCTAAGTAAGAAATAGGTGAAAATTGAATATTAAATCCAATAATATCCATAATATTGTTAATTTTGTCCTTCAATACATCTTTACCAACAATAAAAGAGTTTTTATTCCAATCAAAATGAAAGCCAATTTACTATTCAAATATCTCTAAGAAAATAATAATTCTCCTCCAATTACTAAAATCATCATTACAGAAGACAATAAAATAAATTCCCAAAAAAAAAATCACAAAATAAATGAGAGAGAAAGTCAAACCACCAGAATTAATAAAAGAAAGACTTTTACATTTGAAAAAAAAAAAGTTCAACTTTTCCTCCTACCTTCTCGGTCACTACGTCCAAAAAACCCATCTCCTGAATCTTTTTTCTCCTCCCCCTTCAAACCACCACCACCAGCTCCTCCTCCTCCTCCGGGCAAACTCAGAGAAAGAATTGTTATCGGATCCTGATCTTTCTCCATCATCACATTTTTCCCTCGCGCTCTTTTTTTCTCATCAACTTCTACCTCCAAATCAGATAATGAAGAAGCTGAAGTGCGCTTAAGACGGCGCAGAGTGCAGTTCCAGTGATTCTTAATGGCGTTATCAGTACGACCAGGTAGAAGGCGAGCGATAGTCGCCCATTTGTTCCCATAGCGTTCCTGGGCCCGAGCTATAATATTGTTCTCCTCCACCGTGAACGGGCGGTGCTCGACGTCGGGGCTCAGCTGATTGCACCAACGCAACCGACACGACTTGCCGGAGCGGCCGGGGATCTCCTTGCAAATCACTGACCAATTACGCGGGCCGTGCTGCTCTACCAGTTCTTTGAGCTTTGCATCTTCTTCTGAACTCCATGTTCCTCTGATCACACCATCTTCATCCATTTCTTTTTTTCAAGTTTCTCTCTTGCTCTCTCTCTCTGTCCATATCAGAGAGCAAAATTATATAAACGGCGTGGAGTTTGAACGGTTATTTAGCGGATTAGTTGGCACTCGGAAGTCGGAACTGAACCGCCCAAAAGCAACGGCACCAATACCAGCCGTTGATTTTGTCGGAACAGTATATTCTGCATGTTCCTGCTGTTAATCTGCTCTTAATCCCCCTTTTTTTTTTTTGATAAGTGAAATTTTATAATCTACCAAGCATAAATATCTTCGACTCTCGCATATACAAACAACTAAAATATTCAAGGGCAAAATTTTAAAATAATTACTGTTAATAATATAATTAGCAATTAAACCAATAAAAAAATTAAATTTACAACTAGCCAAAGTCGCCCATTGAATGGCAACTTGTTCGATAACGTTGGAGAGCGAAATTAACTAAAAAGTGTATGAGAAATAAAGTAGGAGAGATATTCATGTATGTTAGATAGGGATGTCAATTTTTGACACGACACGAAATCCGACCCGAAAAAATCCGGGTTCGGGTCAACCAAAACCCGAAACGGGTCGTGTTCGGGTCAACGCAAACCCGAAACGGGTCAGGTTCGGGTTAAAGAAATCAACCCATTTTAAAAATCACGTCGGGTTCGGGTTGACCCGGCAACCCGAAATTGACCCGAAAGTGACACGAAAACTTATATTTGACCCGAAAACCCGAGATTGACCCGTTTTTTACCCGATTTTGACCCGAAAAATGAAGATTGACCCGATTTTTGACCCGAAAACTAGC